TCTTCTAATTGCACATCAATTGCAAAGGTCGATTTAGGGATTGAGCTTATTCTTAGAGAATTTTCATTCATTTTCTGAACCCAGCTGGCCTCTTGAATTCTTCAGTCCCTTTATTAAAACAACTCCCGTCGTTTCATCGCTGTGTGACTGAGTGACAGAATATAGCCAAATACTGAAGTCTCAGTCAGTCCTGTTGTCATTTTGAGTATTCTGTATAACAGCTGACACCACAAGTGACTGACTGTTTCCCTAACAACTGTCTTTGTCTTGAACACATAGAAGGGAACTGATAGGTAATGACTCGATGGTGTACATCCTTTGGCCAAAACTGTGTGGCACTGCTTCGTATATCTGGAGAGGAAAAAGACAGACAGAGGTCAATTGTGGCTGTGAGAGGGAAATGGAGCAAGAAAGTGGGATGTTTTACACAGTGGAGGGGAGATAGGAAGGAGATAAAGTGAGGCCAGCTTGTTCCAAGATCAGACTTTTCATTCTAGTCCAAGTGATGATGTGCTGCTTGGAAATAAAGATAAAAGCAAAGAACGGCTGCCGAAACTCTACCTTTCTGAACATCATCCGCACCCACACTTTTGTTTTATCTTGTTCATTTCTTTCTCTCTGACACAAGCCTAGCCTGGAATAAAATGGAATTGGAAGTGGATTGGGATGATGTATCAAAAAGCGAAGCCTTCCGACATAAATACTTCATTGGCTGGATGAATAGCTAAAGGTGACAAGCTTAGGGTCCCACTCTGAATGCAAATTGATGTACAGTAAAGCAGGAACCTGAGTGCAGAATTCTGTTTTTGTCATGCATGGAGGCTCACTGCAGACAAATGTGACTGATATGGTCATTTCTCTTGGGTTGCATGCCGCCATGCTGCAAGCAGAGCTGTGCCGTGTCATGTAAAATGTTTGAATTTTTGGGACAAGTGAGAAAGTGAAGACCTGCGACCTTGGCAGTCACCTTCTCAGAATATGACATGAAGCAAAAGCGAAAGAAGAACATTGCAGGAAAGTATAAAACGGTCCTCGTTTGTTTCAATGACCATAAAATGGCACTGGTTTCAAGTTTTTTTCAGTCTTTACAAACAGAAAATATATCTGTTTCTTGTTTTTGCATACATGATATCCAAAGCTTTATCAAAATGTAATAAAATTTTCATCACTCTTCCTTTTACACTTTGTTCTCCTTTAGCAGCAGTGAAGCAGTGAAATATTAATGACAGGACACACATTCATAGTTGTGGTGTTTTTCTGGTGCCTCTGCTGCTATTTATGTTTCGTTCCTGTTGTTTCATAATCAGATCAGCGCTCATATTGCGCCCGAAGCTGTCAAGTGGGAAAGAAAGTAGCGAGCTTAGTCAATGAAATTATGAATGTATAACAGCGTTTCTGGTGTTCTGAGAAATCTTGCTTCCTTTCTTGAATGTTTGCCAAAATGTACATGCTAAAATGTGTTATGACAGATTCTCCTGCTTTCACATTTCCCTACACAATTAAGCTGTACTGTCTCTCAAAATAGCTTAACACCTGTTTTTTTGTCCTTTAGGTGGTGGTTTTCTGTGACAGCCTGATCAGGATGCTGGTGGAGACCTAATGATGGAGACTTGATATCAGGTAAACTTGTTCCACATCACTGCATAATAACTGAGAGTAATTTCAGGCCCACTGTTAGCTTCCGCAGCTCTAACTACTCTGAAAATGTTGTGTTAGCAGTGGTGCATCAGCAGATTTGAGGTGCAGGACTATGTGGAGCAACGGTGGGAATTTATTACCAAATATTCAGCGAAACTTACAGGTGCAGAGCAGAAGTGGGTCAGATGCAGTTTGTGTATTTGTGTGTTTCACGGGTAAGCAACTAATAAATGGGTGTACTTTTTTATCAGGGTAAATTTATCTTTTTAAGAATATGTAGATTTGTGGGCAGACCAAAAAAGATGAACAGAGATGCAGTCAAAATGACGAAACTGATAAAGGATAATTACTGAACATGCTGCAGAGCTTAGTGTTCAGTGGAAGCCACAGGATGGAAACAACTAGCACTTTAATCCAGCACTGGTCAAAGGAGTCCGTGGTCACACATGTACACAAAACTTGGGCATGAGCAACTGGACACAGTTAAATCAGTAGGAATGCATAAAGGAAGCTGTTCGACAAAATAAAAGAGGATGCAAGCTGAACAGAAACCCCAATGAATAACGTCTTTCAAAGGAGAACAGGAAACAAGGATCAAAGAACAAAATCAAAACCAAAAGATTAACATAAACTTAACGAAACCAAAGTCAGAAACCTCAAACTACAACAAAAAATATTATTAATTTGGGGAAAAACATGCTGTAAGATACAAATAGACACTAAGAGTGCTACGATTGTGGGACTCAGTTTGTTGTGGCTCCTCGGACTGATGAAGTCCTTTGGATGAAGGACGAAATGTCTCAACAACAAAAAAAGAAACCGTCCAGAGGACCTGACTTAAATTTTTTGGATTTATCAGAATTAAAATAAGCTTTATTATTGCACCGAGATACAACGAGAACATGTACGTACAGTCGTCCGGAAGATGGACGGAGTGCACGAAGCTGCGGCTATAAGCGCTGCCTTCTTATCCTTATTCAGAATAATACTTTTAGATAGGAAAAAGGGAAGAGCCATGAGGATAGATAGTGGTATTACAAAAAAGATCTTTCACATCTTGTCTATCAGGACACGATTTAAGACATCAAAAAAATAATATGTGACAGAGACCAATCGCCAGGTGGGCTGGTTGTATTTGAAATTAATACAATAATAATAATAATAATAATAATAATAATAATAATAATGTCATCACAATGTCAGCACTGTATGTTTCCATACAATGGTGAAATTAGTCTCTGCATTTAACCCATCCACCACCAGGTGGTGCAGTGGGCAGCTATTGAAAGGGCCCAGGGGGCATTTTGTGGGTGAGGCATGCTGCCCATGTGATGTGCAGTGACTGGGGATCGAACCTGGGACTTTCGGGTCCCAAGCCGGCTGCCCTGCCTCTACACCATCTCGGCCCCCATCATCAAATTGTCTTCAAATACACAAATCTTTTTCTCAAATCAATCTTTCTGATTGTATACCATCAAACAGGATGTCTAAGTGGGATTATATAAAGAAAATAATCCAAATTCATACAAAGCATCTCTTTTCTGTGCAGCAAATTTTGTTGGAATTCTCATGTTGTCTGCAGGATCTTTTGACTTTGAGTTGTTTAGTTCCTGTCTGCTTCAGTTTAAGACTTGTTAAATAATAATAAGGTTACAGATGACAGATATATTAACTTTTTATATATTTAGGTTGAGCCAGAGCTGTTTAATAAAACCTCAATTGGTCACAAATGGAACATATCTGTTCATTCATGTATAAAGGTATTTTTCCACATTAATACAGCAATATATATATATTTTTTTCATTTTTTTATTAAAAAACACTAATATTAAATTGAGTCCTGAGTTTTGTGAAAACCTTCCAGTCCAATGGACCCTTCACGTCCTGTAGCTGAAAATAAAGTACTTATGTAGTACTTCCTCTTCCCCCTGTTTTAAGGCCCTGGTCTGAACAGGGCCTTAGTACTTCATAGTATAATGAATGGTTCCTGTGTGGCAATAAGGATGCATGAAAAATAGATTTACAATTTGTGTTTATACAACCGAACAACAACATATTGGATTCTAGCAAGTTGAATCGAATGCAAGTGGACTTCTTTTTTATTTATTTTTTTATTTTAAGGATGTTTAGATGTTCATTTAAAGAGGTGAGTTGAACTGAATTAGGCAGCACAGTAGAACAGGAGAAATAATGTTGTGACCTCTCAGCAAGAAAGTTGCATGTTTAAAACTCAACCGGGGCCTTTCTGTGCAAAGTTTGCATGTTCTCCATGTGTGGATTTCCTATAGGTACTCGGTTTTCCAAAAAACAGTCTAAAACCATGCCTTTTAGGACAGTTGACAATTCTACATTGGCCCTAAAAGTATGCATGCAAAATTGTTTATCTCTAAGTGTTAAAATTGCCCTCTCTAGCTCCTCTCTTCCTCATAGACTGCTAAAGATAGATACCACCTCTGCGTGCCTCTGCACAGGGTAAACAAAATCAATATATGGATGAGTCAAACTGAATTGATCAGATAAAAATCAAACGGTCTTTAAGGATCACAGAAGATGTGCAACTGTCTTTAATTAAAATTGCTAGAATTAGCGTGTCCTGAATGATTGAGAGTTTACACCAGTTTAATGTGTAACATGCTGGATGACAAACATTACAAGGACTACAGACAAAGAATGTGTAAAATTAATGTCTGGCTAATTTATGTTACTGATAATTTAAAGCTTTGTCTGCGTACAGTATAGTTGGTTGTTCATTATAGATGGATAATGGATTTTGTTTGCATTTTCATTTGCCAATACTACATAATGTATGATGCAAATGACAGGATCAGTGCAAGATGTAATTTACATAACTTCCTGTAGATATTTTGGTTGTAGAGTGTTAATGTGAAATTTATGACAGCACTAGTGTTTACAAGATGGGAATAGAAGGAAATGTGAGGGTGCTAAGGGGAGTAAAAGTGTAATCTAAGAACAACAGAGAAATCCCTAATATTTTGCCTTTTTAATGTAGGAGCCATTCGTGTAGTCAAATCTACTTGACAGCAAACTGATTCTTCATAAGAGCTGACAGCTTTAAGAAACTCCTGTTCCACTGAGAGACATTTCAAATATGTAAAAGTTAAAGGATTTTTACAGTAAAAGAAAAACTGTGTCCAGAAATAAAGCATGAGGAAATACTATATGTCTGAAAGGCCGAATAACATATTTTTATTGCCTAATTTTTTTTTCATCTTGATGTTAAAATAGTATATCATTTGTAATAATAAAAGCACTTGGAAAAATACAAAGGTTTTGTGAGTGCTGGTTAAAAATACTGTAGCTTGAATCATAGCCATTTTGCTTATCACGTGTCTAAAGGCACCTTGAGTTGACTTGACTAATCCTGAACCAAATAGTGATTCATTCCCTTTGTGGTACAAAAAGCTCCTTTTTAAGCTTACATTTGAAATGGGCCAATAAAAAAATTAAAAAGTGCAGTAGCAGAAAATGCTGCAGCAGTACATAATTTGTTTTTATTTTACATGATACAGTATAGTATAAAAGTAGGGGAGTGGTGGCACAGAGGCTAGAGAAAGTGGGTCTGTGATCGGAGGATGGCCGGTTCAACTCCCGGTACTGACACATCAAAATGTGGGTGGAAAAAGCGAAAAATCCACACCTGCCTCCACCCTCATTTGCCCCACTCTGGCTCCTTGAGCAAGACCCTTAACTCCCACCATCTGCTCCCCCGGGCGCTCTAGATGGCAGCTCTCTGTTCCACACAGAGAGGTCTGTGGTAGCTCGGTGGTCTGTGGTTAAGTCAGGAAGGCCATCCGGTGTAAAACAGTCGCCAAATCTTTGTGCGACTTAGTTCACTGTGGTGACCCCTGAAGAAGGGAAAACCTGGAGAGAAAAAAAAAACCAGTATAGTATAAAACTATAAATTAAAACTCTGTGCAGATAAAATAAAGTTAATGAGCCATGTTGTCTCTTTGGAGAGCAGTCAGCCGAGAATAATTGCATGCATGTGAAGTACAGACGCTACCTGTATCCTCCTAGCATCTGTTTGGTACACTCAGACTAGGTTTACATCCTGAAAATGTCATTGTACTTTGTCAGGGCACTGCATCTAAATCCCTGCTTTGCTAAGGAGTAGTTGTAGACAGAAATATACCTGGGGAAATCAGTAAGCAATGAGGATTTGATGTGAGGTTTATCTCCCTCTGTGGTCAGAAGCGTTGCGGTATTTAGGGTCAAGGGGAGGATTGCACAGAGCCAAGAACAGAAATCTGACGGCTGCCACTTGTCCTCCTGGTTCAAAGGGATTGTCAGGGCAAAGCTAATTACCCAGTTTGTGTTAAGAAATTGAACATAACTACTGTTCCCTTCAGTCCATCCCCACTCCCCCCTACCACACCCCCATCTTCTCATTGATGTTTGCCTAACGAGCAATGTCTACAGCACCCCACATAACTCTGCATATTTAGTTTACCCTGAGACATCCTGTTCTGTTTGTGTCCCAAAAAAGAAATGAACTCCCATGGTTCCATTTTTTTTTTTTTTGTGTTCTGGTAGGTTTAAATTAACCTCTTCTTGTCCAAAAGAGTGATGTTTATGTTGTGGAAATACACTAATTTTAGGCAGATTTTAATCAGCTGGCATGTTCTTCCAGCTGTTCCTTTAAGTTGTATCTCGCTTGTCAGGTTCAAGGGCATGAGGGGTAAAGAACAGCTTATCTTTGCATGTGCCCATTTTATACTACTTACCAAAGAAAGTATGTCCTGCAAGTATACACTGTGAATATTCATTTTAATGCAAGAATTGAGAGGAGAAAATGAAGAAGGCGTCAAGTCGTTACCTTAAAATTCAAGTGCACATCTCTTGCGCTTTGTGGTCTGCTTCTTTTGTCGAAGCAATTTGAATCTTGCAGCCAGTGTTTCCTGGAATACCAAGTATCGAGATCAGTGACAGGCAGTGTCGAGTGGCAGCTCAGGGGTATTCTT